TTGAGTGTATGGCCAGCGCAATAACCAGCCACCTTTACTTTTGACCAGCTAATGTTGAGTGTATGGCCAGCGCACTAACCAGCCACCTTTACTTTTGACCAGCTAATGTTGAGTGTATGGCCAGCGCAATAACCAGCCACCTTTACTCTTGACCAGCTAACGCCAGAGCTGGGTAGACTTAGGGACACGCTCAAGGATGAGGACAAAATACTAGCCTTAAACTTTAACAGGATTACATTCTGTTATTATCAATGCAGGGCCAATATGCCCCTCCCCGTTTCTCACATGGCCGCCTGATGCAGCCACCTCTCTGCATGGGCTATTCCTGACAGAACAATTCTGGACTAGGTGATATATCATAGGGCTTTTAAAACACTAAACGATACCCTATCAAGCTTTGACATCATTTTAAGACCTCTCTACAATGGGTGAAAGTGAGTCTACACGAAGAATACCGGTACGGGTACAATTTTTATTACTGGTATAATATTTAATATGAAATACCAGAAAATTAGTTATGTCTAGGAGTAGGAGGTTTGACTGGATCTATTAGTAACACTCTATAGGTCGAATAGACCCTATGTTGGCCCCTAACAGAGCAGATGTAGGCACAATTAATTGTCCTATATCCAATATATAGGCTATAGTTAGGCCAATTAAATTTTTTAAATTTAATTTGTGCATAGCTTCGGTTATGAAATGTGCTTGTGCCATACTCATTAAAGATTCTTTAAAGATCCAAATCTCCTACACTACTTAAAACTACACACCCACCCCGGCTTGGAATGTGATCTAGAAATGTGCGTACTTATGGGATCATTTCTGTCTAACAATAACACTCTGCATTATAGACCCACTAATTATCACCCAATAATAAATTTGTATGCGTGCATGGGCGCCCGCAGTTAGGGGCAAGTGGGGGGCACTTACCCCCCCCCCACCCCCCTTAGATTGATTGGAAAAATTTAGACAAAAAATGTATTAAAGTAAAGATAAAATAAAGAGAAAGTAACTAAGCTGATGTCCTGTCCGTTCGTTCACCATACAAATACGCTATAGTAAATTAAGACTATATTAAAACAAACTAAAAAATTTTTACATCATCACAC